TTCTGAAAGGGGGGGGGGTATATCTAAGGGGTTATAGAGGGTAAATTTCGTACCTCAAATCCTCACGTTTCTTCTCAGCTTCCTCCAAGAGAGCCTCTTTGAAACTAAGGATGATTGAGGAAGTGCGATTGTGAGCGGTCTCGGCGTTGCCTATCATATAGTCCCAACCGGTGAACAGTTTCCATGTGAAGACGCACTCATCCTCTTTCTCGGACAATTTGCTTTGCCGTGAGTTGACTGCCATCCTGTAGATTAAGAAATGAGCATCATGGAATTATAAGTGAAAGCATCTTAATTATACTCGTACAAAATCTGAGAAAACATGGCTCAATTTTGGTAGAGTACCTATGTAGGAAGAGTATGAACATACCCTGGTAAAAATAGGCAGTAGAATGTGTGTTCCAAAATACTATAGACCTAAAGCCGGCTGTGAGATTTCCAATAGCTTCAGCAGCCGGCTGTACAATTTCTTATAGCCTTTTATAGCCGATGGCGATTAAGCAACAGGCAGACGATAAAGTTTATGCTAAGCGTTACTAAATACGGATACTAGGACTTAGTGAGTTTTTGGACTACCGCTCTCTTACTATAACGTAGTATCTTGATTTATTTTGCGAAGAAAGCTCCGTACTTTTGAAGGATGCCTGTCATTCTCCATACGTTGGAGCGCCTTCAATTTCTTATGATACTGTGCAATACCTCTGGTGTGAAATAGTTGCTTCAGACGCCGTGGCACGCTGCGGCGCGGCAGGCGGGCAGAGAGCGCATTGGCGCCTACAAATCTAACAGGGATACTTCACGCATTGCGCAATGCGTGAAGTATCCCTGTTAGGTTTGTAGGCGCCAATGCTTCGCCGCTCCGCTTTGTGTTAAGCTCTAATATTTAATCTCGCAGAGTCAGCGTTTTTCAACTCATGCTTTTGAAATGTTTGCACATCCTGTATGGACCATCTCATTCTAATTGATTAAAAAAAAAATATGTTTTAAAGGAAAATATAATGTGTGTTTTGTAAATATTAAGGTAGTTCCGTATCAAACTTAATGATTTCCAAAGCACACGAATTTCTACACAATTTCTTATAGCCTTTTAAAGCCAATTGCGATAAAGTGTAAAGCCCGGCGATAGGAACTATAGCCCGACTGTATACTTTTTTATAGCTTCGTATAGCCCGGCTATATGATTTGCTCCGCTTTCTACAGCCAGCTATTTGATTTTCAATAGCCTTCTTTAGTCGGCTATAAGAACTCCTATGGTATTTTGAAACGCAGCTCGTATCGACAATTTTTACCGGGGTGTCGAAATATGCAGCTCGTAGGACCCAAAAGAACTGCCAACCTTTGAAAACGAAAAATGTCATTGCCAAACATAGGATTCTAATATCAAACCAAAATGGCCAAGAATGTGGCCAAGAATGAGCCATATAGGTGCTGCACGATAAAAAGTAAATCATAAACGAAAAAAAAGGAGCCGTATAATTTTGAAAAAAAAATTACCAAGTACAAATCAATTGAAAAAAATTTGCGCACTGAGTAGATATCAACACATCTGTGTTTTCTTATGCCTTCAGAATTTCTCTATTTACGGTATAATTACATTTTCTTAGAAAGCTTACCTTCGAAGAGTTGCGATAAAACTGTAAACGTAGACCCCGATTCCGGTCAAAAAATAGGCCATAGGTAGTCTGTACCCTTGTTGTGTGTCCTCGTCACGATTGGAGTAATAACCATAGAAAAGGGGAGAATACTTAAGAACCCCCTCAAAATTCCAAAGTGTTTCGAAGGAGGTTGAGTTAGCCTCCTCCTCGGGCAGCATCGTTTTACGCTCTGAAGTATCTGTATTTCGATGGTTCACGAGCACGACCTGTTATGAACATGGTCATTTCAGGTTTTTTTAACTTCAAATTGTAAAGTTGTGTATTCAAATAAATCAAAATTTAGTCATATTCTTGCGCCACAAAGTGGATCGAGTCAATAGGAGAGGTCAGAAAAAATTTGAAAACTTTGAACCCTCTTGAACTTGAACCCCTTTAACTCCGCTCATACACATTTTTGAGGCCCTTAAAGTAGTTCTATTGGTTTCCTCGTGAGATTTTCTTCAAGAATTACTCCTATAAGTTTAAAATGTGACAAAATATACATAAAAATGTATAGTTTCAGTCAAAAATTTCATGTCCAACCTCTCAAATTGACTCGATCCACCGTGCACCATTTAATTGCAAACATTGGTCCGTGATATTACGAGTGGAAGCTTCACCCTTTAAAACATTTACAAGCTGGTTAATCATTCGTTCTCTCACAGATATGCAAAAATAAATTTCACATTTTTACTTAATTCACTTACTAACAGAGAAAGTTGTGTTAAAGTTAGACCGAGTTAAACAGAAAGGTACCAAGCCACATCAGCTTTTGCCAAATTTAATTGGGCAATTTAACTTTTTACATGACAACGGTTGTGCGGATCTTCGTGCGAATTTCATTGAATTTTCTCCGTGGTGCAAAGCAAACTCCTTAGCATTTTCAAAGGAATTTGCACAAACGTTATCTCTCGTGAAAAATTAAATTACCCAGTTAAATTTGACAATAGCTGATTGGCTTGGTTCCTTCCGGTTAAACGCAGTACGGTTATCTTTACATCAAATTACATTGTGGTCTAATTGGAGGCGCAGTATATCTGTTACTATTATTTAATTTGAGTTCAGAATCTATGTGTATGACTGAGGAGTGGCGGTTTTAGTAATCCTTCAATTTGACTGCTATGCAATTTTAGCGACAAGAAATCGGAACTCGTACGTAATACTTATCACGCTTTTCACTCGGATATTTTATTCGGACCGGTACAGTAACATGTTACATTATCTCTGGCCTGAGCTTCACAAACACACTCTCTGGAAAAAGTCTGGGTTAATTTGACTTAAAGTATTGTTTCGTTGGTTTTATCACTTGAATTTTCAAATCAACTATTTTTCTCTTACCGTTCAATTATTATCTGTTTAACTTACCTCAGGTACTGCGACGAAAGCTATTAGAAGAATCGATATGACTAGATTGACCCAGAAAAGCCACCGTAAAAAAGTGAAATATGATGCGACAGCAGACCCAAAATGGGACTCTATTTCCTTGATTCGCAGCTCCCACGGTATTAAAATATTCATTAAGTTTGCTAATTCTCGTTTGGAATTTTGCCATTGCTGTAACCAATGCAAAAAGAATCACAGCCACAGGAAATTTTTAACTATCTACATTTTAAAAAATATGCTTATTTTAGACTTAGGCGGATTCATGAGGGGCGGGGGGTGAGGGCCTTCCCCGTCAAAAAAAAAAGGAGGAAAGAAAAAGGGAAGACAGAAAGAAAGGAGGAACGGAGGAACAAGACGCTCGTATTTGGTAATTACTCATGACGAAATTGACTCAAACTGCATAGTGGATGCCTTAAAATTTCGACAATTTTCTTAGTTATAACTTTATAATGAAAAACTATAAAGTTGGCTTCTTTCTCCTCAGGTAGAAGCGCACAATTTGAAACACCGCAACTGAGATACGTGGCTTTGCACTTAAGCCTTCAGTATAATTACTTGTATGATTTATCAACCCATCTACAATGGGACTACATTTTGCAAAAAGGAACGACTATTTCTGGCTCATTTTAGAAACAAGATATATGCTATTTGTTTCCGTAAGCAGAGAGGTGATTTTATGCTAGTGGTTCTTTATTGCAAAATGTAATCCAATTATGACTAAAAATGAGGCCACTAGTTCGAAAGTGTACAATGTCCATAAAAGTCGTTTGCCACAAAAGACTGTGTTGAGCTTGCTGCGTTTTCCTGCAACCTACCTTTTTAATACTGCTAATTGAAAAGGATTTTGGCTGCTTTGGCACACAATTTCTGATTCTCCTCTATCGGCTGATTGCTTTTACCTCAATTTCGACCGAAATGGACATTGTATACTTTGAAACTAGTAGCCTCAAATAGAAAAGACGATAGTGAAAGGAGATGTATACTGACCTTAGTAAAAAAGATATTGAAGCGAGCTAAGAGATCCTTAGTCCTCTTGCTTTGAGCGAGTCTTTCTTGGAGCTGGCCCTCGTGCTTGCTCAGGAAGAGCTTGGCCTGTTTGACGAGCCAGAGTTTGCGGCGCATCGGCCACGGCTGGAGTCGGACTCCGTTGAGCACCTCCTTGTGGAGCCGCATGTTCTCGTACATTTGCTCCTGCGACGTCTCTGCTCCCACCCCCGCCTCCGCTCCCATCCCAGTTCCCGTACCCTCCTCCGCTGAAACACCCGTCCTGCAAGAAAATCCGCATCATTCAGACCGCTGATCGAGAACATTTGGGCAAAGATGAGCAAAATAATTCCAAAAGAAACTAAAGAGTGGTACCGCAGTGTCCTGATAGCAGCAGTGATTTCTGAGTCTTTCGGATGACTTATGGAAATTTGAAATAAAAACGGAGGCTTCTCGCAATGAAATCGCTCAGACCCTAGTTAACCTATTGTCTCAAAACTTCATTTTTGCACTTACGGCTCTCTTCGCTATCACGGCAGCAATCACGCCCCTATCCATGAGATTGTGACGTCATTATCACTGCCGCGACGACCAGAAATTGACGTATTTCTATCAAACGGAACTAACCGCCATAGGGGGAGGAAGGTAGAGGGGGGCTTGGATTGGCGGCGGAAACAGGCGTCCTGCTCGTTCTGTCCTATACTCGCAATGCTTTCCCATGGCGCTTAGTTCCAAGAGTCTGGACTCTAGATCCAATGTGTTTTTTTTTTTTTTTTTTTTTTTTTTTTTTTTTTTTTTTTTTTTTTTTCCAGTGTATGAATAGATCTTGGGCAGCATTGCAGTGAAAGGACTGACTTACTCGGCGGAACTGGTGGTGAAAACGGATGATCTGCGCCTGTTGCACGATGGGAGACCGAACTCGGGGGAGTGGGAGGACGCCCGTCGATTGGCGGCGCGACGTCTGCCCCCGGCCGAGACTCGACTGATGATGGCGCTCGCGCTCGCAGAGTAGTCCTCCTCGTCATTCTCTTCATCTGTAAAAATAGTCAAAACTATAAAGTACACAGTAAGGAAGAGCAACCTATATTCTATGTTTAAACGGGGAGTGGAACACAAAGTAGCCTAAACATCCGGTTAATATTTTTCGGTTAGTATTTCTCCGGGTTACATCCAGAGGCGGATCCAGCGATTTGGCAACACCGGATTTCTTCCCGTTAAGCCCATGCTAAATAATCGATTCTTATTGGAGCACCTGGCTCCTCCAAGAATCTATACATTTCCATAAGTTTAAATGGAGGAAATCCGGTGTTGCCAAATTACTGAATCCGCCAATGGTTACATCGACCAGATTTTCCGAGTACCAGTAATCGAGATAGTTGAAATTTGATCGGCATTGGCGGATGCAACAAATTGGCAACATCGTCTTTTCTCCATTTAAACCTTTGGAAATGCATCGATTCTCGGAGGGGCCAGGTGCTCCGGCACGAATCGATTATTTAGCATTGGTTGAAATGTATGCAATCCGGTGTTGCCGTATTGCTGAGTTCGCCTCTGTTGATCGGAGAGTGTATCGCGATTTTGTCGGCGTCGATTTGTTGCAATATTATCGGATAAAAAATTGAAATTTCATCTCGCAAATTTGCAACGTAATTGCGATTTGATTAGTGACGGCGATTCATCGCAATGTTATCGGACAAAAAATCGTGATAAATTGAGATCAAATTTCGATTTTAAAGAGATAAAATTCGGACAAGATGAATGATAGTCGCTCAGAAGTTGATAGTTTTAGCGATTTTCAAAAAACTTACAAGTCCTAGTATCTGTATTCCATAACGTTTAACATGATTTTTTGACTTCATTAGAGGAAAAAGTGACTTGATTCAAGCGGAAATATGCTCAAATTTACCGCCCAGAAGAATTTAACCTTATGAATCAATTAAGAAAATAATGCTTGTTTAAAGGAGAAAAGACGCTTTTATAAAAAGAAAAGTCATATACATCAAGCAGAGACCCGTTTTCATTTAGGTATTTATTTCTTGATTCAAAGTAAAATCTTCTTGGCAGCATACTAAAAAATATTTCTACCTAAATCGAGTCACTTTTTTTCTCAACGAAATCCAAAAATTATGCTAAACGTGTTTAAATACGGATGGGAGAACTTGGTGAGTTTTTTGACTACCGACTACCGCTCTCTTTTTGTGCCGTAATATCTTGATTTATTTTGCGCGGAAAGCTCCGTGCTCGTGAAGGATGCCTGTCATTCTCCATAAGTTGGAGCGCCTTCAATTTCGTATTATACTGTGCAACATCCCTGTTGTGAAATAGCTGCTTCAGGCGCCGTGCACGGCGCGGAGTGCTGTCAGCGAGGAGCGCGAACTGGCGCCTACAAACCTAACAGGGATACTTCACGCATTGCGCAATGCGTGAAGTATCCCTGTTAGGTTTGTAGGCGCCAGTGGGCCGCTCCATTCTTAATATTTACACTCGCTGAGTCAGCGTTTTCAACTCATGATTTTGAAATGTTTGCACACTCTGCATGGCTTAGGCAAATTAACGTTTGCACGAGCAAACTGAGAATAAACAATTTTATTTTTTGAAATATGTGCTTCGAAGAATTCAAGCACGTCTTGTAAATGTGATTCAGTTTTTCATTTTGAAAAAAATAAAACATGAGCCGTGTTAAAAACGTTAAAAAGCAGGGTATAGGGGCTTTTTCTTCTTGTTTCTTGCTGCTTTAAGCACCCATGTGTGAAAATATTTTCTGACCTGATTTTGGTTGTTTGGCACTGGATGAAATGGAAGCAGGCCTCTCCATAGGAAGACTTGAAAATGCTGTTGAGTCGCGAGAAAACGCGGGCCAACTGGAGCCATTCACTTTTGTTGAATCACTTCGAAACCTTCGAGCCTTTTAAAATCAAAATAAAGGATAACGTTTTAAAAAGATTGCACTTATTTTACGCACACATTGCAGTTAACAAAGTAAGTTTTGCAACAAAAAATGTACAAGTCGTAAAAAACTTGCAAGAACATGGAATAATTGGAATATGTACTTTAGATATGAGATGTTTCTTGGTAAAATAAAAAAATCCCCAAATTTGTTGAACTAACGTCAATTATTTCAATGAGCATTTTTTGTAGAGGAAGAGTTGAGAAGGGAGAGACAAAGTTGAAACTTTACTGATTTCATTCAAAAAAGGCAAAAGCTTTTTTTAAAAAAAAAAAAACGAAAAATTTCTTTTTCCAAATTTTGAGCATCTCTCGTGATACGATTCAGATAATATCCCGTCCACTTCAAACTATATTCCTCGAAATATGACAAAAAGAAAAAAATGGAATATTCCCAATCCTGTTCTATGAGAGGTATACTAGCAAACTGATAATAGAATCCCTCGAAAAAAGTTCTGCTATGAGTAAAAGTAAGACAGACGTAGAATATCATTGTATGGAAGACGGTACCTAATTATTTACCCCCGAAAAAATCCGCCTTAAAGGAAACTTAAACTTCTAAATTATTCAACAAACACACGTAAACGACGGAAAAAACAAACAACAAAGGCCCGTGAGACTATGGTCTTGTGAAAGGAATTTGTCGGCTTAAAAAGTTACGAAGAGGTGGCGAGGCATCTGTAGCCACACCCTTCATTGCTGCCTCGTGCATGCCTTGCTAATTATAAGTTATATCTTCCTACTCCTCTTCCATTTTTGTGAATCAACAGTTACCTTGGACAGATTTCAGGTGTTGGTGCAACTACCCTGCGAAGTTCACGTTCTCAACACTTACTATTGAAAACACTCTCATTGATGATCCGTTTCACTTGCTACGTCGCAGTTACCCCCAAAAATAATGCAATTTAATTAAGCAAAGAAATGAAGGTTCCTTTCGATCATAAGTATTAATGTAATGTATTTTTTCTATGGGCTCAAACGACTTTTATCGAATAGAAAACCAAACAACTCATGAAAACTGATTATTTAATGTGGGGGGTGAGATTTCATTCATCATTGACATTAACTTTAGAGGAAAGGCAATTTTTAGTTCATATTATAGGTAAAGTTTTGCATCGGATGATTAAATAAAGAATTTCATGTTTTACTCTATCATTTTATCATGAAAATTGATTTTTTTTTTTTTCATATTTTCCAGTTTGCAATGCATAAAGTTGTTTCCATTTGTTAACAATTTATTATGTATTGGTGTTCAGCAAGGAAAATTACACGTGCACTATTCATTTCGCAATAAAAAAGAAAACAATCATGGTGCCTTCATCTTTTCGAGATGCATTTTACTGGTATTGAGCGAAAACATTCGCATTGGGGCGTTATTCGGCCAGCTTAACATTTCCAACATTTTTGCGAATTCTGCTGTTTGTCACAAAGTGCGTAGAAATAGCTATATATCCGAAGCGAGAATATTGTTGTCAGCATCCCATTTTTTTTGAACTGAAAATTATCCTCTGTGAAAAAATGATTTTCCGCAGTTTTAGGGAGTTTTTTTGACGATAAATGAAAGTTTCTACAACGGGAGGAGCGAAAAAGCGTCCATTTTTTCAATGTGCCTGGAAGTGTTATGCGACTAATTCATAGTTTCTCAGAGACGAGACAGGCCTTCTCCGCATCTCCTTCCTACGCAATGAATTGATTTGTCCGACCTCCTGTCTCCATTAGAAACGTTTCATCACGCAACACGCACTACCCCTTGAAACCATTTCTACAATTTGTAACTTGAAACAAAAATCTACGTTGTAAATTAAATGAAGACCTAAACATCACAAATCACATCAAGTATGAAAAACGATTGGATTTGCACAACTCACAAAATTAATGAGAGACTACAAGTGAAATCCCGAACATTTTTGGTGGATTCCGAGGAAACTAAGAACATCGTTTAATCTGCAAAAATTAACAAATTAACGACGGATCTACTAGGCAGCATGACAAAGAGGACATAGCACTATGGGTCGAAACGTTAATACTGGAAAGTTCATAGGGTAGAACAGCTCGAAACATTTGAAAATTCTACCTGGGCTTGCGGGGGATGGACGGAAAATAATATTTTTACGACATAAAATTTGACCTAGATTGAGGCCACTCCTGCCGAGCCGTTTAGGCCCGACGGCGTTGCCAAATACCCTAAATTTAACGCAAGAATGTATGAGAAAACAGGGTATTAGTTGAATGTCCCGGCACCAGTGAGCACGACGCGCAATGGGAGAGTGTCACTCATTAGAAATAATGCGAGAGCGAAAAAAGATGAGTTTCGGAGACCAGACATGCAATCCTCAGAGTCCTGTAATTGGGTTTGATGCCAATTGAATCGGTGTCTGCTAGACGGTCGTAACTCCAAAAGCTCGTGAGCCCCAGAGTCCTGCGTGATCAATGAAAACTAGGGCTCATGAGTTTTCGGAGTTACGCCCTTTTTGCAGACATTGATCCAATTAATCTAATGGACGACTCCCTGAGTCCCCGAGTCCCTGAGTCCCTGCTCTCTCTTAGTCAGGGCCCACACGATGAAACAAAGCATCGTTGTTCTTACAATGCTCTCATAGTCGATTTCAGATCCCACCTATTTTTTTAGTCATAATTACCATGTAACGCTTGTGTTCACAATTATTTCTGTCTCGCTAAAAATACAGCCTAGTCATCGAGATTGGGCGATATGTAAATACAAAGATGACGTTGTAATTACGACTAGGAAAATAGGATAGTCCTGGAATCCTCTGAGAGTATTGTAAGAGCAGCAATTATCTTTTTCTCTGCATATGTTCAAAAATCGACGATGTAAGTACGCAACCAAGTATCTCATTTGCGGTGTTTTAAAATCTCAGTTCCTATTTAATTTTTTTAATGGAGAACAAATCGACATCATTATTCCATGTTCTCCCTAAAGGACATCATTCCTTTAAGAACTTTCTTTGCGCGGAGAAGAAAAATCACGGCATTTTTAAGAAGTACTGATGAGAAGTTTTCCATTTAAAAAATAAAGTGTGACAGGGAGTCTGCACGCGTCTGTAGCAAACCGAGATACGTGGTTGCGGAATTACATCGTCAAAATAGGCTGCGTCACGAATAAACAAATTCTAGAAATCACAAACAAATTGTTCTTTTTGCGGGAAAATATGAGGCCATGAAGGCGACTCGAATGGGCAAAAATTAAATTTTACCGTCAGTTGTTTTAATTAAAAATGTTACTCCATATGAACTTGTTGAATGGGGAAAATACACTGATCGAGCTGAAAAGTACCATATACTAAATTTTTTCAGAATGTGACTCGGTTCTTTCCAATTTAACTCCATCAATTTTTTTTCTTTAGATGCTCCAGTCGAAACGTCTCGGTTTAGTTTCTTTATTTTAGCCTTGTTGCTGGCCTTTATTTGCGTAAAATTCTGTCCATTTATGTTCCAGTATCAATCAAACGTTGAAACATTTAAAAGTTTCTAAAAATTAAAAAAGTTTCAAAATACCTGACTGTGCCTGGAGTCCTCAAGGAAACCAACAGATCTGCCACTGGACCTAGAAGATTCCGCTCTCAGGATTCCTATCGGCCCCGCTGGTTGCCTATCCCTCACAGATGAAGGCGTTGTTAGCTCTACCACCGATTGCTCAGGAACGTTTGGGTCCACTAAGTATGACGAGATTGTCACATTATCGTAAAGTGATAAATCATTCATCACCGCGTTATTGTTGCTGGACTCCCAATCAGACCGCACGGGTGGAAATGAATGTCGAAAGTCAACATTCCAAATCAATGGTATGTTAACTCTAAGGTTAGTTTTCTCAGGAGACCCACAGAGCAGTACATCACTTGGTTTATCATCGCCGAAATTGGGTGAAGGTTCAAGTAAAAGAGGAATGTCTTCCCAAAATGTGCTGTTCAAGTCACATAGCTGGGTCTCTTTCTTGTTGTGGCTTTGTTGTGTCTCGAATGTGCTTAGTACATGCGATTCCGCACAGAATTTCTCGAAAGGACACGATGATGCAGCAATCAAACCATCCGGAAGGATCGATGGAATTTCCTTTTCTCGTTCAAATTCATCGAAGGTCTGGTCAGGGGTGAGTTTTTTGGCACTGGAGCAGATTTTTGTTGCCTCACAAACTCCATCCTCGTCGCAAATTGCAGTTTGTCTCGTCAGAGAGGAATTAAATTCCGCGGATGATGGTTGTATAGAACGCAAAGGATCCGATTGATTTGTCTCCTTTACTTGCATAGTCATACTTTTCAAATTAGGAATTTCAAAATAACTATCTTGAGTTTTTTCAGCCTGACTTCCTTTCTGCGATCGGACGTCCTTATAACAGTTAGGACAGTCGTGAACATTTCCTGGTGGCTCTGGAATTTGTGCGGGAAGCATCATTCGAACTGATTCAGTTTTTGGTTTTACTTCAACCGGACATGATATAAAACTCGAGAGCTGTCCTGGATGTCTTTCCGCTAAACCAGCATTCGCGCCCAAATCGTCTTCTCTGTCATGTCTGTGTTTTGGTATCGGAATACACAGTCTTGGACCTCTTCGGTGAGACATTGGTGATTCGGTATGTTCTAACCATGACGTTTGGTTAGATTTTAAAGAGAAATGTATGTGTTTTCGTGGTGAAGAGGCGGCAGTGGATGATTCCCTTTTTTATTTCGCTAAACATGAATTCTACACTTTTGCTCATTTTGTTGGATATTTTTCAGGAATAAATTTGTCCCCTTCAATATCCTTTACGATGAAAACGTGTTGATGGATATAGTATCCGCACCCTGCGTTTTCTACATGAGATATACTTTATTTCCAGTGCAGTATTAGCTACACTCCGAGTGGTTTTTTCACTGCTGGCTTTTTTCATTTTGACCTTGCCCTTTTTCTCGTCAGTTCTTCCCTGATCTTTGTTTGGTCCATAAAACGCATCAATGATTTAGTCCCATTCGTGGTCTTATTTTCATGGATTCCCCAACCGGATGTCCATATCGATTTATTCGCCGCAGTTCTAGATCGGAACCGCGAGGCACGCGTTATCTGGTCAAAGGAAAATAAAAGAATACGTCAAAATGGTATCAAAATGTAGAATAATGCTTTACTCGTATAGGGTAAAAATTTTTTGTAATTATGAATTTATCCATTAAAAAAGGTAACAACCCTACCTAACAGATTGGCGGTGCGCAGCATTAGGTACTATATTTATATGCAGCATTGTTCAAGCTAATTTTCGACTTATTACGAGAGGTATTTTTTACTTAAAACGTCGTCATGCGTACATTTGTAATATTGTAAGACAGTTTACTCAATTTAAAGTAAAATTTATACATATAAGGATGCTTTACAGCACTTTCTTGTGCTTTACGACACGTAACCTCCACTGCCCTCTGTCGAATTACAACCCTTGGGGCATTGAACCTTAATATGTATTTCAAACGTAATTTATACCAAATATATCACCAACAATTTCACAACGTTTTATATTTCTTTACACATGTCTTAGTTGTTTGGTTTCTTATTCATTTTTTAGGAATTAAGGTTGATTTCCAGGAATTCAAAATGGTTAATAATTTGACCTAGAGACCGGACAGAATGCACATGAAGAACACTTTTTGACGGATTTGAGATCGTTTCCACTTAAACCACTTGACAGATACAACTAAATTTGGAGCTGAATTACTTCATATTCAAGTCTGCCTACTGTTACATATTATTTAACACCGTTTCGCCGCGCTTATGTGGCGTAAGAGTGAGGAAAGGTAAAACTCCTTCAATTTTTCGCGTATGCAACGCGCTCAGTCACCAAGCTCAAATAGTTGCATCCAGGTGTTGTAATCAACGCCAGGTTAATGTGTGGGTTTAGCGGCAGCGCACAGTGGATTGAGTCAATATAGGAGAGGTCGGACAAAATTTGAAAACTTTAAACGCTTATAAATCAATGTATACAAATCCATTAATTTCCTGAGGCCTCATTAGGTATGGTATCCAATTTTGAGCGAAACAAAAAATCATGAGCCGAGTATACAAACCAATGGATCAGTGCATAAAATTCTCTTATATGCCTAGAAATATATAATAAAAAGAAAAATAATTGTTTCACTGATACATTCATTAGATTTGAACAATTAAAAAAAGAAACGCAAAGCAATATTATGCAATCAAATGCATTGAAACATAATTATTCCTTACCGTGTAAAAAAAGCAGGTAATTAATCGATGATGTATTGGTTCTCGAATGGAGATTTTTCGCGCATTTTTTTTACTGGTCGTTACTTATTTTTATCAAAAATATGCACCACTGTGAGAGATAGAACAGAATCGTTACAAGAGTGCGGTTACGAGAGTCCAGTAGCGGAATGAAGTTATCGAGAGGAGTTTTAGCAGGAGCTTTTTTGTGAGCTTTTAATACGCCAGCTCTTCAAACTGTTTACAGAATTTAATTAATTATATTCGAGGTATTATGTTTCAAAGATCATTTTTCTCTTCTCTCTCACTCTTCCAATTTTAATTTTCGCCCATCAAACCTTATATTCTCTCTTCTCTGCTCCTGTCCACCTACCTTCTTGGCAACGATTTTTTTAGACGTGCCGTTGACGCATGCTTCTACGCGATTCGGTGTGACTGACCTTATCGATTGGATTTATTGTGAAATTGTTCTTAGAACCTTTACGGTTACGCTGAATAAGTATTAATCGTTAAACTAAGAGAGGACGCAACTCAATTATCATGTTGTATAATTTTTGTTTCAATTCTCTGTATTTGAAAGAAACTCTACCAGAATTCTGAATAAAATGTCTGATAATTTTGTTTCATAGCTAAATAAAACTAAATCAAATTTTCATTAGTAACATGTTTTTCCACTTCGGGGCGGAAACTGGGAACCAAAGCAAAAAAATGATATTAAATAAATTAAATTCATCTTTATATTTTTATGTAATTTTATATCGTATCAATTACTAAAGTCCAAAAGTAGCATCTCTCATTGCGATGACTGTGTAAATTTCCGCTCATGTTGTATTACAAAACTGATCGACAGTTTTACAGTGCTTTTAAATTATCAATACGGCAATTGGTATTTTCTTACCCAAAAACTTCTTTCAATTTTCTAGGATGTGAATTTTTAAATGAATCATTTGTTGAAAATTTAAATAATGAATAGCTGTAGATGAAAGCTTAATTCGTACGATTTTGTGTATTATTCAGCGGTGCAAAATGTTCCCTCTAGTGGGGCTTTAATGGAGATACCTGAGTAGAAGAATTCGCCGCATTCATTTCTTTGATAAGAGAAAATCTCCTGTCAGGGTCGGCTATTATAGATTAAAGTCTAACACACAAAATAACCCATCCAACTTCAATTAATTTCAATCTCCAGTTTGAAATCCGCCGTAGACCACAAGTTAACATTTTCCTTTCAATAATACTCACGAATTATTTAATTCAATTAGTGTTTTTGGGATTGCAAAAAAAAAAATAAAATTTTTTCTTTAAAATATTGTTGGCTAGTATGGGCAGAGGTAAGATTCGTGTCTTTGGTTGTAACAAAATGTGTGCAAGCATTTCAGTTGTTCTAGTGGTTGGTATTGTGACAACATGTGTTATTGGGTTCTTGGCAAAAAGGGCGTATTCCTGCAGCGGAGCCAACTTTACGCTTTGTCAGCATATAGTGAGTAACAGATTATAAATATAAATTAACAATGGAGAAAGTTTCGAGTTGGAATATGTGCAAAATTATGAGGCATTATTATTTATTTGGTTTAAAATATGTTTGATGAGAAACACTCCATGCATCCGTATGAACACAGGCGTAGAAACGTATCATAATACTATTTTTCTGTGTGCAGATATATAGTATAAAAATAGTACGTAAATGAAGAACACCTGTCTTAACACGCGTTTCGGCTATCCAGTGCACCAGTTGTATGACGAGATACTTAAACTAGCAGCATTTGAACTCGAGAATTAAAAATTTTGACCTATTTGTTCAAATAATTCTTGAAATATTGAATAAACCTTAAGAAAATTTTACAACGGCCGGTGATGGGGCGGAATATGAAAAATTACCCTTATGAGTAGGGCATGGACCGCAAAGCGGTCTGGGGGAGCCCCCTAGTAACTATAAAATGAAAGCACCTATTTTGTGTCGTATTTCGTGACACAAGTAGTATATGTGCAAATATCTAAAACAGAACGTACTTTAATCTGAAATGTAGGTTCATCGGCATGGAGAGAGGGCGCCGCTGAAGTCCTACCCCTTGGATCCGTACAAAGGAGAATCATTTTGGCCAGAAGGCCTGGCGGCCCTGTTGCAAGTAAGTTTTTACAAGAGATCTACATTACATTAATTTATAAGCAGCTCATACCTTAACTTTCATCATGAAAAAAATTGTATACCAGCAGGGACAGCAGGTACTGTGAAATGCTTTAAATTTTATCAGCGTCACGTGGTATTTCGTGTAATCATAAATCTACGATTGACACTTAAAGTACGTGTGTAATTAGAGAAATATTGGTGTACATTATCATATCACCTATACGGCTGTGCCAATAATCCATATTCTTCGATTAACTATAGCGACGTATCTAACATTTACACCAAAATCTACTAAATTATTGATCAACTTTTACCAATAATTTAAACTGCGTGATTACGAGATGTATACATATCTTCGTTCTCCTCACGAAAGAACGCAATTACATTTTTATGTTGCCAAATTTCTCCTCGCAGAGTGGATTTTTACCACTGAACCAACTTTACTAACTAAAAAGTCCACTGATTTCTCCTCTGATCTCGCGCAAAAATCAGAAAAATTTGGACGAAAATTGCGTAGGTATATTCTTGATCAAAACTTGAATACTTTAGTCAATTTTGCAACCTCGGAATAGAGTTACGTTCCTTCGTCCGGGAAAAGAGGATATTGGCCAAATTTTCATTGGATGTTCACCCATTTCTGTAACGAGAAACTTGATGACACTCTAGTTAGTTGCATTATTGTAATCCATGTAAGTTGTAAATTAAAAAGACCTAATAACGCAAAATCAATTGAAATAGTAATTCGAATATCTCGCCATTCATATCAATGACTAAACTCACTTAAAAAAATGCGTAGCCTCGATTGCGACGTTGCAAGTCTCCAATTATTATTTCTTACATTTTAAAAGAATCCCAAGGAGATGGTGAGCCTTTTAATCTACAGCGGCTATCAAAGAGGAGCCGAGTGCATTGACCTTTCAAAAAAAACCGCTCTCGGAAATACCAACAACAGATATATCTGTTTTTTAAATACGCCTAAAAAGTTGGTCCCTTCATGATATAAATAAATAAAAAAAATGATAAAAATATGATGAAATAAATAAATAAAAAATATAAAAAATAAACAATAAATAATAAATAAAAAATATATGATAAATTATATAAATGATGTTGGTCGAGTCTTAATAATTTATGTTTCAGAAAGGCAAGGTTGGCATGTTCGAATGGGGGCGTTTTTTGAGACACCGCTACGGGTGGTTTCTCTCTGCCACTTATAAACCCTCAGAGGTATTCGTCCGCACGACTAAAACCGATCGCCACATCATGAGTGCACAACTCACTTTGGCGGGACTATATCCTCCGATTGGAATTCAAGTTTGGAATCCTGATATTCTTTGGCAACCAATCCCGGTGCATTCTCTTCCGAAAACTTGTGATGACGTAAGCAGAATCAGGGCCGGATTTAGGGGTTGGCCACATGGTCCGCGGCCCATGGCGACTTTAGGGGGCGGCAAATTTTGAACTTTTTTTAAATGTAGGTGTGTTAAAAAAATTGGATTCACAAAAAAAAACACAAACTAGAAAAGGCGACAAAATCTCTAATTTCCTGAGAGTAAAGTAATTTCTAATTTTGTCGTCTTTCCGTGATACAAGAGCCAGAACTTATAATTAGTCGAGTTAAGGTGATTCGATGGACGCCATATTTTGTGTCAGAGTGGCATGCGATAAATCGCATCAATTGGTTCAATTTTTTCAGCTACTCGTCATTTTTCTCCAATTTGCAGATTCTGTTGTCAAGAGACTAAAGCACTCACTTACCAATTTTAACAAAGAAATTCAACGAATAAAGGCGTGGTTTTTTTAGAGAGAAAACATCGCATTCGATACTGATATCGAAACTGCACTCGAATACGATATTTTCTCTGAAAAAAACCACACCTTTATTACGTTGAATTTCCTTGTTGAAATTGGTAAGTGAGTGCTTTAGTCTCCTGACAACAGAATTGCGATCTCAAAATTGGAGAAAAATGACGAGTAGCTGAAAAAATTGAACCAATTGATGCGACATATCGAATGCCGTTCTGACACAAAATATGGCGTCCATCGAATCACCTTAAGAGAGAAACCAAATCCGCAATTTGGCCTGGAGCGGCGCGGCGTAGAGAGCAATGATGACGAGGACTTGAGATGAAAAGGAGAAACCCTCAGCGCGGTGGTCGGCATGTAACACATATTAGCGCCTACAAGACTGCATGAATATTTCACGCATCGCGTCAAACACAGTGCGGTCAGCAGCGGTCGGCGCGAAACGCACAGCGCCTACAAGACTGCATGAATACTTCACGCATTGCGCCAAACGCAGTGCGGTCAACGCGGCGCGGTGGTGGCGGAAGTTAAACTAATTAAACCACATTTATGTTTGTTCTTTCATAATTTTTTCGTTCATTTCTTCTAAATGGAAGGCCTTGTCCACACAGAGATAGGTTTACGGAACTTAACCTTTGGGCAAAGTTCCGTAAATTTTTGCTAGTAGTGTTGACAGGGCTTTCGCAAATGGACGTACTTCTATCAAACGGACCTAAGCGCCATAGGATGAGGGAGGTAGAGGGGGACTTGGATTGGCAGCGGAATCGGGCGTCCGGCTTATTTCGTCCTATACTCGCAATGCTTTTCCGTGGCGCTTAGGTCCGTTTGACAGAACGCGCTATCCGGGATTCTAAATTCCTCAAAAGGTGCTCAAATTGGCGCTTAGTTCCGTTTGATAGAAATATACGTCCAAATAATGTGTCCAAGACGAGTAAACGCGTCTTGTGCACCCCTCCCCCTCCGACGCGTTCACTCGATGGCTTTTATGGATGTTTCAAAACGAATGAAAAGGGGGCAGCAAAATACAGGCGACCCATGGGCGGCAAGCAGGTAAATCCGGCCCTGAGCAGAATGATGTATGGAATCGACAATAATAACTTTACTCCTCTACTAGTCCTCATAATCATATCACGCCGGTTTTTCTTAATTTAATTGTCACAAAATGTGTGCCAATTAAATTGAAACTTATCTGCTCCTAATCAAAGCTAATGTAAACTTAAACGTAATTAATAGCCAGATACGCCAAGTTAAAATAAAAATTTACTTAAATGCAATGAATTCTGATATTTTGCTTCCAAAAATAAAAATCCAAACTTAACAAAAATTGGAAAGAATAACGGAGGGGTATTTTATTTAATTAAAGTTTAAATGTGTGTCTTTGCCCCAGGGTCCCCCCTCCTCATTTTTGTCTCTTTTTGGTAGATACTCCTGGTAACCAAACGCTGCGATTTATTAACGAAAGAAGAAAAGCAATGGAAAACCCTCATTCAAAAGCAACTAGATGGACACGATGACCTTTTAACTTATCTTTCAAAAAGCACCGGACTTGAAGAAGTGAAAACTCTCGCGGATATAAGTTCCATCTATAACAATTTAGAGGTTGTGGTATGTAAAAAAAACGATCCTTCTCCAGAATATTTCATGTATTGTCCGAGTATCGTTTTGACGCATGCAAATTAAAAGGAACAATATCCATCCTTCCATGAGTCCTAAGATTCATGAGGATGTATGCATGACAGAGCTCATGTCAAAATGGGTATAGTTCATTTTGATTTAAATGCGTCCAATTTTGACCTCTTTACTTTTACTCAGATGCTTGAACCTTATAAGAATGTATTAAGGTTAAAATTGTGAGCGCTAGGTAGACCGCACCATTAACGCTATGGTTTTGGGCTATCTACTACTGACGCCACTTAGTATGAATATGTCCACTGCACTGCGAAGCCCTCTTTTTGAATCCGTGATTACAGCTTGAAAAACTTTCTTCCGGGAAGGCAGCTCCGTTAATTTATAACGCGTCATGTTGTTTGTAATGTTTTTCCTCTGTTAACTGAGGCACCTTCAGGAAGTTATACCGGATACTCGCATCGACCATTTACAATTTAAGGGGGGCCCGAATTTTTCGGCGTACTTTTACATGGAAATGCAACAGCCGTTGATGACCTTACCACCGGCCAATCAGAGGCGCCATGATGGACTTAAGAGCGGTCGGGGTCAGTCCTAAGTAAACTTTAGTACCAGTGGCGTGGCGTGAATAATCGATTATCGATATCTCGCCATTTGAAACTATGGTAAAGAATCGATTACTAAGGTGTTCGCTGCGAACACCCTGATAATCGATCTTTTTTCATAGGTTTAAATGGCATAACAATCGATATATCGCAATTCACGCTACGCCACTGTTTAGTACCGGTGGAAAAATCGACAAAATTTGGAACATGGAGAATCCTATGTTAAGAAATGCAGTGTATTCCTCAAGTCTATAATTTTATTGGTACTGTGCGGCAGATTTTTGCTTGAATTCTGTTATCTAACATTAATTATTATTATTGTTTTTAACGTTTTAATGTTTCATTTTGATTAGTCATTTGCAAGTTTTTGAAGTTTTCTATGGTCTCATAATCATGCGCAGAAAAATTCATGTAAATGTCATGTCAAGTAAGTTTTCCTTCCTCATCTCGAAGCACGGTCTCCGGTGATGATTGGTAATTAACTCATTAGCAAGGCACTGTTCCTTACTTAAACATAAATTATTGTGAGAATCTCATGGCTTTTTTTCTTCAGGAGGAACAAGGACTATTGATGCCACAATGGGCCCAAAATGTTGATCTTGAGGAACTTAAATCGTTCGCTGAAATCGAGTCTATGCAACTTTTTAAAACCCCAACCATGATGAAACTTCAGACAGGTATGACGACCTCTTTTTCTATCAGTCCCTCTAGAATCAATGATAACTTAGGGCAGACAGAAATGAGGCCCAGATAAGACATAATATTTTTACAATATTGGGCAAATATTGTCAGTACTGTCGCAATATTTACACAATACTGACAATATTTTGATAATATTATAATCAAAATTATTTTTTTAGAAAATATTTAAAGAATCATCATTTAGTATTTTTAAAAATAATATGTTTACCCAAAACATCATAAAAATATTTTCAAAATATTTGTATTTCAATACTGTAAAAATTTATATCGTGAGAGTATTTTTAAAATATCAGTACATATAATATTTATATTCAAAATATTTATTATATATTTTAAAAACATTTTAAAAGACAGTAATGCATTGGTAAGTATTTTCAAAATATTTTGAAAATATTTTAAACAATAATACTGCTATTCAAAATATTTTTAAAATATTTTCGATATCCTAATCGGTATAAGTCATCATACTAAATGCCTGCCCATAACGAAAAGTATTAAAGATAATAAGGCTTAGATTTAAGACGTAGCTCAAATGTGTTCTTTCTGAACAATTATCCATTATTTTCAACCTTATTATTCATAAAGGTTATTGCAGTTGTTGTCAAATTTAATATAATATAATATAATATAATATATATTTTTTTTGCCTCCCAAGAAATTGTTGAATTTCCACCTCCTTGAGGTCATTTTCAATGTATTTGCGCGTGATCTCAGTTTATTTCTTTTTTTGTTTTGTTTGTAGTTCATGTACTGTTGTGAATATTATCATTGAATGAGAATGTTATCATTCATTCACATTTGGTTGTTTATTTTTTATTTTTCAAATTTCAAATGAAACATTTAAATTCAACTGAAGAAGAAATTCTTGATCTCGTGTGCTTATTGGTCTCCTGTAGAACTTGCACTTAGTAGCTGTGCAGCTGTGAGATTATGGCAATCGCACCTGCATAGTCTTTATGAGGAAGACATCAAACTGCAATCAAATGCAAAATGCATCTCAGAATGTCGATGAAAAATTTAAAGAGAAAAAAATAAATAAAAATAATAGAATGGTGGAAATAATAGAATAACAGAGACAAAAGAAGAGAAATAAAATGAAGTAAATCAAATTAATGATAAAATGAAGTCAAAGACTAAACTGAAGTAAAACATTAGAGGGAGCAAGGAGATGAAGTAAAAAAACTGAGATGAAGAAAAAAATAAAGTATAAGGGAAAAAACTAAATGAGGTTAAAGAATAGAATGAATTTAAAGAATTAACTGAAGTCAAAAACATTATGATGAAGTATTAAAATAAATTACAGTAAAACAAAACAAAGTAAAGGAATAAGAAGTAAACAATTAAAGAAAAAAAATGAAGTGCTTGAAAAAAAAAAAAAAAAAATAGAGTGAAGAAAAAAATAGAGTCAGCAAGGAAATAAAACAAAGTAAAACGATAAAATAAATTTAAAAAATATAGTAAAGTGAAAAGTAAAATAAATACACGGACAAATCCAGGTAGATTGAAAATATCTTAGCGGCCCGTTCAAATCGACGTTAAATACCGTTTTTGCGTCACTTTCGTGCATCGTTCGCTATAGCTCAATCGGTAGGGTCGTCGGCTAGTGTTAGGTAGGTCCCGGGTTCAATTCCCAAGGTAGGTAGAAAATTTCTAACCTTCAAAATCGGTTAAATCACATACCAATGGTTTCATTATTTTTATTTTTCATGGTTTCAAAAATTATTTCCACAATTAACCCCTTTCCACCATCCCCTAGCTGCGAACCCCTAAATTGATTCAATATTGGTGTAGTATTGTCTCAATATTGATATCCAAACACTTTCCCTTTGAAGTACTGGCACAGTATTCTTAGCCAAAGTATTGGCACAGTATTTATGCCGAAAGGAAAGATGGTGTACGATTTTAACATTGGCTCAATATTTAACCAATATTGGCCCAATGTTTGCATAAATACCAAAACAATATTGTTTAAATATTGGCTAAATATTCCTGTCTTATCTGGGGGTATTCTATTTCGGCCACCTCATTTGTTTTTACCGACTACTTACTTAAAAATTCCAATTACTTTTGATTTATAATTTTAGGTTTTATCGTATGAGTGCCCTTTAAAGATACTTATCGGTACGGTCATTAATTAGGAGCACAGCAGCTACTTTTAAAAAGACCTCATCAAACTGAACAAAAAGGAAGGATCTCCAATTGCCCCAAAAATCACTACTGCTGTTTCTCAAAAGTTCACTTTTAATTTCATGATTACGTCGCAAAAGCACACTTTTAGTGCATTTTTGTTCTTTAACAACTGGATTCAATACTGCAGAAATTAGGACAAAAACCAAGAAAATCAGGGTTGTAGGAAATCTGGGCTCAGGTCATTTTTGATCCGTCAAATTCAGCAGGAGATTCAGTTTTCTTTCGAAACAGTTCATACCTGCATACACCTGCAAACTAACGAGGTAGGTAATTCTCAATACTTGGTCCACTAATATTGAACACAGTCTTAAAAAACTCGGAAATCCAAGCTTCTTTAGCTTTTCAGCCCTCCTGGCGCAGATATAATAAATTAATTGATATAGCTATCTCAGCCAAGTTTAGGTACCTTGCTAGTGACGCATATTATAATGAATTTATCATCGCTCATTTTTTTTGTCATGGGAACGGAGTACCCCATGATATTACAATCGTTCCGTTGCTTTCGCAATGGGATTCCCTATACCTCTGCGACCTTGAGCGTTTCGCCCAGTCTCCGATTTTTGGTTGATTTTCCGATGTATCAAAAACCGTTGTATTTTTTAGCCAATCATGTCTCTACGTCAAGTTGTGTTGATTGCTAAAATTCGCTTTCAGCGAGTTTTTTTCCACCTTGAGATGTCGTGTCTGACTGGTAAATCTGCGCAGAACCACGAAGTTCCGTTTTTAGGCAAATTCTTTTTTTTGGGAGGTTCTGATTGGTTATTTTTCGCCATCAGTTTTCTGTTCGTTGGTGCAAAAGATCGCCTACCTCGTTGCTCTTGAGAAGCCGCCATTATCCCACCTCAAATTTTAAACATAGATATAAAGAAATAATAACCATCGTACAAGGTGGAAAATTGCTCTGGAGGACCCGTTACGGATATATGAGCCAAAATCAGAACTCGATTGATGGATTTAATCCATGAATACAGAAATATTGCCTGAGCTTACTGCCGCGATCGCAAATGCCTGTTGATATGAACCTCGTGACACATGACAGCATAGGTAAACAATGTCTCACAGAGTAATGCGGTTGATCCGTTGTGTCTTATCACGCCAGTGGCCGAACCGTTGAAATCTCAAGGACGTCTTTTGTGAAGCCCCGCTCAGCGTCCGAGATCACTTAAGTGTTCTCTTTTTCTCCATGCATATCTGAGCAGCGAAATAGCTCAAATGGCTGCGTTACCTTTCTGCCTCTGGGAGAGTGTCACTTTTTGTGCGAGCGGGGGTTCGAATCTCGTAGGGGACAGCTAATTTTTACTGGTTGTATTGAATGTTTTAGACCAATAATCTAACAATAATTAATACTTGGCAACTTAGGAAGCACATAGGTCCCTTATGATGCGTATTCGGGCATATGTGTAGAGTAAAAATATCATACGTAGGGTGTCCCAAAAGTACCGGGACTGGTTCTGTAACTTCAAAAGTAAGATAGATACAGACATGATTTTGGTCTCATTTTAAAGATCAACTCAATACCTATCGATTAAAACCAAGATCAGCTCAATCGAATAAAAATTGACCGAGTTATGACAATTTGAAATTAGTGAGGAAAGTTTACCCCTACGGTTTTTAGGAAGATTTTTCGCTTACCAGGATTCAAAAAGTTAATATTCGTATCCACTTTCCTCCGAATCTTCCATAACTTCCTTTTGCTTTTCAAAGTACCGTCCATCAAACCGGATGCACTTTTTCATGCGCTCTTGCCACTTATCCAACATTGTTTTCCTGAATTCTTCCTCTGGGATGGAGTTGAAGAAGTTTTGAATTGCATTCTGGATTTCGGTCTTCGATACGAATCTTCGTCCGCGAAGCTCCTTTTTAAGCGTAGGAAACATCCAAAAATCACATGGAGCCAAGTCAGGGCTATAAGGGGGATGAGGGATTGTTTCAACTCCATTTTTACTCATAAATTCACGTGTTAAGCTCGATGTGTGAGGCCGCGCATTGTCTTGATGGAGTATCCACGAAGCTTTCAAGTCCGACCGTTTCCGGGAAATGTGCATTCTCAACTCCTTTAGTACTTTGCAATAATACGCACTGTCAACTGTTGTGTTTGATGGTACAAAATGTTGATAAATGACACCTCGAAAATAAAAAAACACAATAAGCATCACTTTATCGGCCGACTTTTCGATTTACGGCGATGAAGAATCTTCCTTAAAAACCGTAGGCGTAAACTTTCCTCGCTGATTTCAAATTGCCATAACTCGGTCAATTTTTATCCGATTGAGCTGATCTTGGTTTTAATCGATAGGTATTGAGTTGATCTTTAAAATGAAATCAAGATCATGTCTGTATCTATCTTACTTTCGAAGTTACAGAACAAGTCCCGGTGCTTTTGGGACACCTTATGTATACTTTACGCCGAAAAAGCGAACCTGAAACTTAAATGCGTTAACTTCCGAAAACCATATATAATCCAACGAAAATAAATAATTGGTACATAACAGCTTTCTTGTATGCAAAGAAAATAATTAAAAATGTTAAAAAAGAGATGTCAACACAAAATTACATAGCCCCTTCAATTCAGAAGATACTACAAACGAACTGTACCTTAACATTTTCATATCCCAGAAGCTAACGTTCCCATGACGAATATTGCTATCGCTAGCGATTGCAAAATCCAACTTGTCTTCTTTTTAATTTCACTGTGTTTTCATCCTTTAAGGGGTTTTAATAAACGAAATTGTAACAAATATGATGCGGAAAATGGAAGGAAGCGAAAACTTCTCGCGTCTTCTGAGTTTGTATTCTGCTTCTGACCGCGTCCTGTCACGTCTATGGAGAGGTCTGAATATAACTCGCGAAATAAGCAGGCAGCATTATGGTGCCGCACTTATTACTGAATTACACGAAATCAATGACAGATATCGAGTGAGGGTAAGTAACGTATAATCAGTGAGTATTGATTCATTTGTTCAACTCAAATTGATGCCATTCCTACTCCAGTATAATCGCATTGCGGATGCATTCTAATTGGAAGTCACCCTGTTCTAGTGTTCCATTGTCTTGTCATTTCTATTGTCTTTGATATTAATTCCAATGAGCATTTCAAATACCCGGGACTTACCAATGTCCTGAGAAATCTTGATATTTATTAAAAAAAGATCAGTGATAACACGTTTAACTTTGACAATAGTCCAAGACAATTTTCCCCCGCTGCTTGCAGATACTACACAAAAGAGGATCATTTGAAGATGAGTTATCAATACTGACAATTCAAGGATGTGAAGAGGGCTCGTTTTCAGAACTGGATGAAATGTGCGATCTTGATACCTTTTCATCCGTGTTGCAGCCGATCATGATCACCGATTTTGATGAAGCATGTCAAAACCCACAATAAAGTGCCATAAGGTGTGTCTCGTAGAGTTTCGAGTTTTTATTTTCTCTCTCTCTCTCTCTCTCCCCCCCTCTCTCTCTCTCCCCGTGATAATTCCAGCATTACTAGAAGGGACAGAATCGACTTGGAAATATTTGGTTTACTATGAAAAATTCAATTTATAATGATTAAAAAATTCCAAAAAATTAGGTGTCCATTAGAAAAATCTTGCACAATATTACATACAGAGCCGATTGACAGGACAGTGGGGAGTGCAAAATGTTACACAATCCTCAGTGTAGGACTTAATTTTTTACATTTTTCCCGTTGTTTGCTTAGTATAATTTTAGACGGCAATATACGTAGAATTTATCGATTGAGTAGGGCGGCGGAAATCATATCGACGGTGAAACTACCAAACCACGTATCTCGTTTGCGGTGTTTAAAAATCTACGCTCGCATTTTATTTTTTTTAAGTAGACCAAATCAATATCATTCCTTGAAATTTTCACAGAATTTTCTCCGCACGAAGAGGAAAAATCACAGAAATTTTCAAGACTGGACGTTAAGTAGTTTTTCATTTAAAAAATAAAGTATGACAGGAAGTCTGCGACGTCGCAACCCGAGATACGTGGTTTGGTAGTTTCACCGTCGATATTCAGGTGTCGAATTTTATCAGTGGGGCCACTTTAATTCACTTCACTCAATCCTATCTTCGCCGAGATTTAGTTACATCCGTTTTAAGTAAGAGGATTTACTAAATTCTTGCTGTAGATAAGATATTATTTTGATATTGAAATGCGCCAAAGACTTTAATTCTGCCAATTCGTGCACCATCTTTTTGCCATTCAAAAAGTTAGTCCAAAGCTACGTAGCTCATTTTACCAAATTTTACGATTTTTGTGAGGCCTTCTCTCCTCTTTTTAGGAGTTTCTCGTCTTAAAGTTACAAAATGATTAAGGGTAAAAAAGCTTCTGTCATGCAGAACTGTCTATTCCAAAAAAAGGGTGCTGCCGCTTTTATTATTTTAGTTATTTGTACTGTGACTGCGTGCACTGGACTCTATTTGCACAAGAGCATCCCTACTGTAGAAAATACTCTACGATTTGTAAGCGTCGTAAGTATCTCCTAAACTGGGAATTTTAATGTTTGCCCTGGACTTATTTCAACCTGGATCCTTCATCCTGTAGTGATATTAAATGATGATGTAAACAATTACAATGCATAGTTCAATGCCCCTAAACTATAACCGCGATGAATTCAGGTGTTGTGAGAATTTGGCATCTTACATCATGAAACAAGTGATTGATTTGTCTGATTTGATTTGTCATCGACAATCCAAAGGACAAGATTCAATAGACGCAAGAATTTAAAAATAACGTGTGCTTCTTTTAAGTGGTAAAAATTATCAGATGACTATTGCCAAAATCTAATTATCAACTTATACCATTTGATCCCAAAAGATAATATCAAGTTTACATTTGCGATACTGCTCGATTTCACTAGGAATGAACGATTATGAAATATTCATCGTGTAACCAATGTATTCGGACGTATGACGCAGACTCATAACTGCAAGATCAACAAATCTATGTAAACCACGCTTAATTCCATTGCAACATTCTAAAATCTCTGTCCGTGTTTTACTTAATCATTTTGTATTATGTTTTTTATCTCTCCTCCTTCTTCTTTGTCTTCTTCTCATTCTTCTTCTTCTTCTTCTTCTTCTTCTTCTTCTTCTTCTTCTTCTTCTTCTTCTTCTACTTCTTCTTCTTCAAAAAAAACGTATTAAAAAGTCTCCTGGAAATTCCCGGTGAATTTTAATGAGCTAGGAAAACTCTCCGATAAATTTTGGGGGAAAAACGGATGCCCAGTTTTCTATTTAAAAAAATAAGACATACAGCCAAATCGCTACCATAGATGTGCTTTTTGCGACTTTAGCCATCCATATTCGCGGGACGAGATATTACTCTCTAAGACTCAAAACCCTCGATTGCACCCTCGATTTGGACGTACTTCTATATCAAACGGAACTACGTGCATTTTGACGTGAACCCTGTGATGCGTGTATTCTTATGGGTCTCAGGGCTCATGTCTTGATGCACATTGTTCTGTTTGATAGAAATACGTCCATTTATGATTTTCCCTTTTCCTTATCTCAGTGTTTTTGCGTTACCATAAAAGTTATTATCAGGAAGTCCACTCTTTTACATAGATTCATCGCCACGGTGAAAGATCTCCACTTCATTCTTATCCGTTTGACCCTTACAAAGGAGAATCTTATTGGCCGGAAGGATTGCGTGCTCTTTTACAGGTTAGTAAAGCTATGAGGTAATCCTTGATATTTTCCATATCTAAGTCTGATTCTGAAAACCACATCCCTTATCACGGAGAAAAATTAAATCAGCTTTGCATAAGGAGCCTGCGTGAATGTCGTGGAGTACAGAGAAAATGTCGCCGTGTGCGAAAATAATGCTCTGAGCACAGTCGTTGTCCATCCACATGCCCAATCGGTTCCTGCTGGTCTCTTCGGTCATCTCAAAGGGACCGAGACTGCCAACAGATGTACTGCCGTACTGCCGTGCTAAGGAAAAACGCCGTATGAGCCTCCAAGCGTTGACAGATTCCCTTCAACATAGATCGAATTTACTAGAAATTTTTTGAACGTTTTGCTTCAAAATTTTCAGACGATTTTGTTCGCGATTTGATCTAAAATACCTGAAAATTTCAAGGAAAAATATGAGCAACTTTCCTGAAAAATACATGATTAATCTGGGGAAATTTGGCAACTATCAAATGTTCATACGGCGTTTTTCCTTAGCACGGCAGTGTACTTACTCAGCCTTCCCTTGAAATTCCCGTGGAACCTATAGGAATCTCTTTTGCCCTTGTGTGACCGTATTGTCAGGATAAGGCAATTGATCATTCCGAGGATGAGTGGAGAGTCCAGACTTTGGGCGATTGGACCTATTTTGTTGTTTGTTTTATGTTTGCATGTTCATAAAACTTTAGATGAATCAGTTTATGAAATTGTTTACCTCCGTTTTGATTTCCGATGTGCACTTGTGGTGTGGTGGAGGTACTACTAGACTTGAAACTCTATGACATTTCAAGACAGTTCAAGACTTCAAATACAACTACGGGCAACTTGGATTTCGGTATCAAAAACATCATGACTACATACGTAGTGGAAATATGCGCGATATTTAGAAATTTTAAAATACTAGAAATTGTAACTAGTTTTTCATTTTCAGTCACAGTGAGCAAAGTTTGGTCTTAACTCTGATCACTTAAGAAAAATAAAATTCATATTTTTTATAAAAAGAAAGAAGGAAAAAAATCCGCAAGGAGCTATCTTGGAGTTGCAAATGAGTTTTTTTAATGGTGATTTTATTTACCATAATGGCTTAAATGTTTTAGAAGGGTAAAGTGAACATGTACAAGCTGGGAAAGTTTTTACGGCTTCGGTACGATTCGTTGCTATCTACCACTTATAAACCAGCGGAGATATTCGTCTCAACTTTCTGCACCGATCGTGTTATAATGAGCGGACAACTAGTTTTGGCAGGATTGTACCCTCCAGTTGGGATTCAAATTTGGAAAACCGATTTGCTCTGGCAACCGATTCCGATTCATTCTATGCCCGACTCTTGTGATGATGTAAGTAGAGTGATAAGAACTTGAAAATGTTAATGCTGTCCTTTTTATAGTTTTTCTTCACAGCACTTGGATATCTCTCTTTCCAATATCATTCCTCAGAAATGAATTCAACTTTTAAGGAATGATTAAAACTGTTGATGAATTGAGTCTGGAACAACTCTTAGAAAAGTGAAAAAATTCTCTACAAAATAAGTCTTAAGCCATGGCTGTACTTTTCATTTTGTAATCGCATTGCTGGGATCTGCACAACCTTCTTTTAATTGAAGTTTCAAATTCTTACTGACACAATTCCATGAAGCTTTATGGAAAGTTGTTACTCCAGGACCGTACCCATTATTTTTGCCTGCCACCATGAGAATTGAGAATGATGCAGTTTAAAAGTATAGACTTCGATACCGAGGAAAAGTAGGATCAAGTGAAATGAACTGAGATAGACAAATCGCGAGCAATCGCTCTCATCAGTGATTTCAGCATGTCTCTCTCAGCATTGCGTAGAGCTATCTCTCTTACACGTAGTGTGTCCCATAAGCAGTACTGTTATCAATATTTGGTTTCAAATATAGAACTGTCAAATCTCGTCTTCAGTTTAATACACTCTAAAGCTATGCTGCGATGTGGAGTGATTTTACATTTCTTCGAGATCGACTGGTGAATAGGGGTTAAACATGGCAAAATGATGTCCGGATACCTTAACCTGGGAGACCTGACCGTACAAAATCTCTTAATTTTTTTTGAATATTTTACTGACTGAAGCTGAAGGACACTCTGCAACTGGTTTAAGCAGAAAAATCATGCATACATTTTCCATTTGGAAAAAGTCAGTGAGAGTGAAAAGTCGAACCGCTGGAATTGAAAACCGCTTTGATTTGTCTCTAATTTTATTCACTTCGTTTTTTCCAGATGTTTCACGTAACCAAACGCTGCAAGTTATTGTCAGACGAGACAAAGCAGAGAGATTTGGTGATTAAAAAAAAACTAGAAGACCATCAGGAGTTTCTCGCCTACCTTTCAAAATACACTGGGCTAGATGTAAAAAATGCCTCGCACTTGAGTGGTTTATTCGATAATCTATCAGTTGTGGTACGTGCTATGAGAAACATAATTGAAAAATAAAGTGAAATGGAATAAATAATTTAAAAAATAGATAAATAGATAAAATAAGGAGTTTGTCAAATAGGATTATTGGAAAACCTCCGGAACATGAAAGTTTTTTTAGAGCATACCTACACCGAATATCCTTCTCACGCTTTTCCAATTTTGTATGCTTGCCTAACTATCATATTTTTTAGTATTACACTATATTGAATAACTCACAAGAATTTTTACAAATCTTAAAGAGGCTTTGTTTCATTAGCTTAATTTAGAATGAAAACCTGAAATTACGCCTCGGTTGCGGCCCAACGAACATAATTAAGGAACGATCCCAGAACGATCACTGTACGTCTTAAAACATCTAATCCTTGTGTTGTACATAAAATCTAATGTTTTTGTAATAGTTATTGGAAGGAGATATTTTTGAAATATTACTAAAATTTAAACACTTCGAACAGAGGCGAGTTGCCCACGTTTACTAATGAAATCAAATTTTACGCATTTTTCGGGAAATAGATTTTCATCGTTTCCTTTTCTGGGTTAAGTTTTAAGCCATCAATTTCAAAAAATGTATCCTTTTTTCTGTTGCCTTGTTTCTTAGGAGCAACAGGGATTAACTTTGCCACAGTGGACACGAGATGTTTATCCAAAGAAGCTGGAATCTCTAGCCAACTTGGAGTTCATGGAGCTATTTAAAACACAGACCATGATAAAACTCGAATCAGGTTCTGATTGAGGCATTACTTTGCTCATCCATTGAAGACATATTATACCTAAGATATGATTAATTATTTTCCTCTGAATGGGCTTGTGCTTCTTACGCACACATTCATTTAAAAAATAATAATTCTGATCGATCATCCTTGGTGAAGTTGAAACCATTAAGCTCAACTAATTGGTGGGCAGTAGGGCGCACAAGTAAAAAGAAATGAGGTGCTGTTGAGCATTAATATTTTTTGGTTTCTGCAATTGGAGTTTTCGATCACAGAAAACTAACTTTGGTTTGACTAACCGTTATTCGGTTCCTTGGACTAAAAACTTCGGTCACCTTCACCGAAAAACATTGGTGTTCAATAGGAACTGCGGTTCAGTCTATTTAACCGGGTTTATTTTTTCAGTGCATAAAGGGAGTACCTCAATATTCCCCTGGTCCTTCCATTATAACTTCCCATTTTCATATTTTCCAGGTGTTTTAATAAACGAAATCGTGTCGAACATGGTGCGAAAAACGGATGCGTCCAAAAATTTTGAGCGCATGTTAAATTTGTACCCCGCATCCGATCGAATATTGATACGCTTATGGCGAGGCTTGAATATGACCCAAGAAATCACCAGCAAACCGTATTATGGAGCAGCTCTATTTATTGAACTGCATGAAATCGACAAGAAATATCGAGTTAAAGTAAGTTTGAGGGCTGATCCTTCGATTGATTTGTATCATTTCTGTTTTAATTGGATTTTTGATTTGGAGATATGCAGTCTAGAAGTTTCACCGTCGAAAAGTTGTTTCAATTTTCAGCCTGCAATGCCGGATGGGACGAGGGGAGCGTAAGAAGAGAGGGAACAAAGGGCGAGGGGGCACAATTTTTGACTTATGATTTAAGTTCACACTTTCTTTTACACTAATATACAGAATACTGGAGATTATTTCCAGCTGAAAATTTGGAATCCGATTCTTCAACTCAACTTCCTTTCATAATTACTAAAAAATGTCTCCATGCACTAAAAGTTTTCGTTCCTCAGACGGTCTAAAATCATGTGATTTATGGAATACGAATATTTTTATCCACAAAAACTCGCGAATAACTATTTATTTTTATTCTGCAGATTTTACACAAGAAGGGGACCACAGACGATGAATTAACAACTCTGAAAATTCGGGGTTGTGAGGGTGGCTACGACTTGGAACAGGACGAGATGTGCGATCTGGATGTCTTTTTATCCGCGTTGGAGCCTATGATTATCACTGACTTCGACAAAGCATGTGAAAACTCAACATAAATTTGAGGATTTTTTGTAGCCTTTATTATCGGTGTATATAAATGTAATGATCGGAAGGTTTTATGAAATAAATTTGTCCTTAAAAATGTGTCTCTTCAATATAGTGTAGAGGATGAAGATATTGGTTCCGTCCCTACATTTTTCAACAGTTTTAACTTCCGCAAAATGGGCATATTTACCCAAGGTTTCTATACTGGTCCGAAAAATTCGGAAAGTCTCCAGAATTTTGCTAGTCTCCGGACTATAATACTGATTTTTTTAGGGCGGTCTGGAGGTAAAAGTCCGGAAATTCCCTGTATGGGAGATACAGAATTGTTTGCTTCATGGCACGAGTGTTTTTAAAACAGCTTGAAAAATATGCAATCTATCGCGCAGTGATTCTTAGTGCAGTGTTTTCGCGCTAGATCGAGATTGTAAAGCCAGTTGATCCTCAGGCCACCAATGAGCTTTGAATTTCCTGGGTACGTCATTGTTCTTGCGATTTGCGAAAATGCGAAAATTTCGAATCTCTTCACTTAAAGGTACCAAAACAGTACTAAATTTTTCTGCTTATGAGTTATTAAATTTTTGAAAAAGTACTGAATACGTTAAGTAAAAATGCTTTTTACTCACAAGTCAATTTCAATAGACACCCTACATTATGCGACACAAGAACCATGCTATAGAAAGTTGGCAGTTTCGAAAACGCCTTCAATTATGGCATGATACCTCACGCATTCCAAAGAGTACGAATAGTTGTATCGTTGCACCTTAGCAACGCGATGGAAGATTCATAATGAAGTAGCCTCCACGCTGGCCTTGTAGGATTTCCTTTGCCGCTATTGCAGTTTTGACCGCATAGTTTAAGTGTGCTCTAGCTGGGATTGTATTTTGCAAATGGATAATTCTTATAGAAGAATTAAAAATAAACAAGCTGTAAGAAATACAGCTGTAAGCCGTAGAAATATGAACTCAAATCAACAATCAACTTAAAGGTACCTTAAGAGTATTGAATTTTTTCTGCTTTGAAAATGTTCGCAAATAAATACAAAACATAGCATCCCTTGAAAAGCCCGAATAAACCACTAGTGTTTGATATAACTTTTCATTTAACCCTCCTCACCTGCTCTAATTTGGTTTTTGAACTACTTAATGAGGAAGTTGTTTTAAAAAGTCGCTGATGAACCACAGAATCAAAAATTCAATTGATATACAATTTTCAATTTTTTCCTCATGATTCCCTCTCAAGTGGAATTTTCAATCGGAAGCTGACGATCTAATTACACCATAGGATGAAACTTTTAATTGTTATATAATTCTCGATGTTTCCTTCTTGGATCCGTTTCAAGTGGAATTTTAGATCTAAAACTTACGATCTGTGTTTAAGCAGCCCTCTTAAAAGTTCGGAGGGATTTGGTTTCTCTGATAAGCTGAAGAGACAAAGATCGATATGGTGCATGGGGGTTATAGGCACAGACATTCGTAAAGTGGTTCTTCTAGCTCTTTCTGCGCCTGTATTTTTACCTTTCTCGCACATCATTTAGAACATCTGCCCTCAGAATTATTGTGGTCCATTCTCTCCTCAACGTCTGATAATTTTAATTTGTAATGAGATATTGCACAAGTAGCTTCATAACGTCTTAGTCAGCCACAACTCTAAAATTTTGTGTCACAAATAGTAAAATTTGACCGTGTAACATACTTGTGAAGACGGCGTGGTTAAAATTCCTTGCGTGCATGCAGAAATACAAATACTCCGCACTTCCCATCAAAATATTTCAGACGTGAGGAGGGATGAGGAAGAATAATTTTATTTTTCGTAATCTGTCCCGGAATAAGTTGATTTTCATTGTCGCAATTTCAATTTCCGCTTTGGCTGGATGCGTAGGACTTTTTCTGCTCAGACGTGGTTCTTCTGCCGAGTCAACTTTGCGATTTGTGAGCATTGTAAGTGAGCCCTTTTTATATTTTTTTTAAATTCTCCCAATAATTATTGATATTTTTATCAGTCATGAAAGGCAAAAGAGACATCTGTTGGAGTGTCGGCTAGTCACCACGAACCTAACTAAGGGGTCCCAAGGGGACCTGGCCTCCATATAATTTATGATCGTATGTAGCAGATGGCTTTTGTGAAGAGTTCTGGGTCCTTGACCCCCCCACAAAAGTTTTTCAACTACGCTCGTTCAAGCAAATTGACCAAAATATATACATGTTCCTCCTACAAACAAAAAATAATTATGCCCGAAAGTAGTTGTTCAGTACCTCTAAACTCCTGAAAAGAGTAAATTATCTAATAATGCAACTCATAAAATCGTAAAACATACTAGCAGACACATTAATTGTCTATTGTGTGCGTAGATCATTAATAATCGTTAATTAATGTTTTAATACATAATCAAATCAACCTCCGACATATATAGGTGCATCGACATGGTGACAGGGCTCCCTCGTTTTCATATCCACTGGATCCTTACAAGGGAGAATCATTCTGGCCGGAAGGGTTGGGCAACCTATTACAGGTAAGTGCTCCTATCTAAAATGATAGGTTAATGGTTTTTCGTTTTGGAGAGCTTTGTGGGAAAATTTGGGTCCACCATTACCATTGTCTACAGTGTGCTTTAAAATTGATTGTGCGACTTCAATAAAATTGATTTTATGAAACTAAAACTACGTGACTCAGCAATAAATGAAACGTCACTATTCTACCATTGTGTTCCTTGTAGTTCCGGCTTTACTGTGTTTTTTTTTACTGTTCGTAGATATATGTGATGTTTGTTTCTCTTTTTTTTCTTTAATCAATATCAAATAAGTTATTTCGTCATAATGTCATGCACGATGGTCTGTTTAGCATCCATGATCTCCCGTACCGTCTTATTCCTGACGCAATCTTTACTGGAAATACCAGCGGATCTATGCCAGAAGTCCATCTCTGTTGCCTCTAAAACCTCCCGGGTCCGCCGTTTCATCAGCTGTACCTCACACCCTTATACTATAGTATTTTACCCAGTATTTTAGCTCACTTTTTAGCTATTTAAGAGTAATAAAGAAACACCGATAGTCATTAACAAGCATTATTGGTTCCTTTATTCCCAACAAGTCACTCTTTTTTAGCACACAAAATCTTACTAAGCATAATTATTCTCTCAGAACGTGCAGAAACTTGAATATTTCTTTTCGTAAGTCTCTTAAATACTCATTTTGTTTAATGTAGAAAGGAAAAGTACGCATGTACGAATTTGGGCGCTTTCTGCGACGGCGGTACGACGGTTTCATTTCATCGAAGTACTCAGCGGCAGAGACTAATGTAATTTCTAGTATACGTAACAGATGCCTCATGAGCGCTGAACTGGTTTTGGCAGGATTGTACCCTCCGGATGGGATTCAAATCTGGAATCAAGATCTGCCCTGGCAACCAATTCCGGTTCATTCTATTCCTACACCTTGTGATGATGTGCGTGAGAGTCCTTCTTTTTATCAACGTACTCGTAAATTATTGCATCAGCCGAAAGGCCCAAATGGACCACTAGACAAGATATCGACGGTGAAACTACCGAACCACGTATCTCGTTTACGGTGTTTAAAAATCTACGCTCACATTTTATTTTTTTGAAGTAAACCAAATCAATATCATTCCTTGAAATTTTCACGGAATTTTCTCCGCACAAAGAGGAAAAATCACAGAAATTTTCAAGACTGGATGTTAAGTACGTAGTTTTTCATTTAAAAAATAAAGTATGACAGGAAGTCTGCGACGTCGAAAACCGAGGTACGTGGTTTGGTAGTTTCACCGTCGATATACGATCAGTTGCCTCTTCAAAATTTCACTTTAAACATGATTCGAGCTATGAAAGTTTCTGAAATTATCTCCTGACCAGATATTATTAAGGTTTTTATTCAGCATTGAATATGGAACATTGGACTTCTCCGCTCTCATGAAAAACCAGAATCTTCTTCAATCAAAGTATGCGCATTACAATGGGTTTGATCGGCTTCTCTGTTAATGCTGTTCTGTTCCTTTCCCGCCTTGTGTTGTTCGGAGGGTAAACAGCGACAAGCAACAGCTGAGCCGAAGCGTCGAGATGGCATACTTTCACACTGCCAGGACCGCTCACGGACTGCCACGGTAACGTTCAGTGTGCGATTTAATTCAAATAGACTATGATATCTTTTATGAGCGGGAAGTTTAAATTTAGGCGTTGAGAAACGTTAATACCTTAGTTAAGAGTTACGTTCAGTAATTTTCTTTGCACGAATCGTATTTTTTTGTAAAATTTTGATACGAAAATGTTATTGCTATAACCTGAATACGCACCTTGTCCGTTGGTCTATTCAAATTCTGATGGCGATGACACATTTTCAAGGAGCTGATGGGATGAGACGGATTATACTTGGCCTCCCTGATAAGTTTAAACCTGGAGCATAATTGTGCACTTACACTTTAAGGTCTAAACGTTCTGTTAGCTTCAGACACTGGTAAAATGCACTGTAGTTTGATGAAGGTATAACAAGAAGAAACCCCCAGTAAACCAGCTAAAAAAAGGGGAGGAAAATGTTAGTTAGAATGTCAATCGGGACTCAGTATAAATTTTCCATCAAAAAATAATGAAATCAATGACAGTGAGGGGAGAATTATTTATTATAAAGGCAAAGAACTATAATTACTAAGTCAGTAAAACAATCTAATTCGAAAAGGGCTTGAAAAAAAATTTATTGAAAGCTGACAATTCTGGATCCACTCAGTCTTTATGCAGCTTGGAGATGAGTCTCGGTTTAGCAATTATAATTCAAGGACGTTTATCGACACTAGTTTTCTTAACCACCTCTTAATTTCTTACTTGCTCGTTGACGGCTCCAAAAAAAATTTTAGTTTTGACTTCAGATTCTCCGAGCTTCTTCTTCGAACTGTCCAGGTACATGAAGTGTTTTTATTTATTTATTTATTTCATTCTCTCGCAGATGATTCGGGTTACAAAGCACTGCTGGTTGCTGTCAAAAGAGACGGAAAAATGGACAATTTTCCTGAATGAAGAAGTCAATAAAGATCAGGCATTTCTCTCCTACCTTTCAAAAAGCACTGGTGTTGAATGTAAAACGATGGAAGATATTAATCGTATTAAGGACAATCTAAATGTCGTCGTGAGTACTTCAAACGAGTGAATTCAATTTTTTTAAAACGTTTTCCAACGACAGCCTACATAAACGCGAAAAGCACATAACGCACAGTACAGAGTTCTATTGACAACTAAGAGTGAGCCCGTTGCTTGTATTCCTTCAGTAAGTTCAATAATAAATTTAAATTGGAATGGGAGAAAGAAGAAGGAAACCGCTGGATTAAAAGTCTTATGCTTGACTTATTACACAATTGGCTGGACAGAAGACATGGTAATATTGATCATTATGTTACCCAATTTCTGTCCGGTCATGAAGAATTCGGGCACTACCTACACAGATTCAAAAGAAGAGATACACCAAAATGTTTTTGCAACAAAAAAATAGTCGATACTCCCCACCGCACTTTCTTCAAATGTACAACCAATCTGGCCGTACGAGTAAGACTAAAATCAGGCCGCACCTACGCCTACATTAATACATTTTATTTTCAGAGGCAGCAAGGACTTCCATTGCCAAAGTGGGTGAACGATGTTTATCCAAATAAAATATACTCCTTCACCAACCTCAAATCCTTGCATCAACATCAATCATCAACTATGATAAAACTTTCCTCAGGTGCTGATCAACTACTTTTAAACGCATGTTTGAATAATTCCTGAATGAACGTCGATGGAAGTTGCTCCCTTACTTTAAGATAAGAATTTTTTTTTAATGAAGCTTTTTTTCCTCTTCTTTTTTAAATTAAAAAAAAAAACAGAAAAAAAAGAATCAAGGAAATACGTAAATAAATTAAATCCGTAGGTTACATGGCGCCCCTAGACGCTTTGCAACACCTATCAGCCACCCCTGCCAATTTCACCAGAAATCGTGTAGCAAATCACAGCGGCATTATTACGCGGTACATTTCTGCCGTGCTAAGGAAAGTAATCTGAAACGGGTTCTAGACCTATGTTTTGTGCTATTTTCCTGCAGTTTAACTTTTTATAATTATTTACGCGCAGTACTCCTGTTGATATAGTTTCTTTGCTTACCTCTCTCCTTGATTAGGTGTACTCATAAACGAGATTTTAACGAACATGAAGAGGAAGCTGGACTTGACGGACAGTTTTGATCGACGATTACACTTGTATTCTGCTCATGATATGGTTTTGGTAAATCTTTGGAGAGGCATGAATTTCAGTCAAGAAATTACAGAACCGCCCCCTTATGCCGCAGCGCTTATTTTTGAGTTGCATGAAATTGAAGATAAATACCGCGTGCGGGTAGGTTTTCAAACATGAAGGAGGTTAGATATTATAATTTCAAACTATTATTATTATATGAATATTATTTTTTTGGCCAGGTTGGCTTGGTGGTCAACGCGTCTGACACCAAGTGAATAGGTCTCGGGCTCATATCCCGGTGGTGGCGATAAATTTTCACGGAACTGATGAGTGGATCTGCAAAAACAGATTTTACTCGATCCTAGATGAAAATTTGAAAGCCTAAAGTATAAAGCGCTGGGTGCAGATATAGGAAATTTCCATGTGGTGGTGTCTCAGGATCTATTTAATCTATCTATTGTAACTAATTGTATGGGGTA